GAGACCTTCTAAAGTTGCCTCACTCAGACCCACAACTTGTCACAGGGACAGTCATCTGCCCACACAGGGTTTTGGTACCACGCTATCCTAAGAAGGTGGCTTTTGAGAGCCTCACCAATGGTAACCCTGGATGAATGCCCCTGAGGCTCACAGGCGAGGCAGGCAGCCCACTGTCTTTGGCCTGGTGCTATATCTGGTCTCAGATCATCTTTGGGAAATAGGAACTTTCCCTTTCCAGAAGAGAGAGGGTACGACATTAAGTTTACCCCAGACATGGCATTCTGTGAACCACAGTTCCCTCTTGAACCATGTGAAAAGATCCATACAGCTGACTGAGCTCCAAAAAGGGATGACGTCCCCACCGCATCAAGGGTTCCTCTAAGAACAGCTGAAGTGGAAAGGAATGAGATGGAGAGGCAGCGTCTCATTTTTTTGTTTGTTTTTGCTTTTATTTTGTTTTGTTTTGCTTTTTAAGACAGGGTCTTACTATGGAGCCCTGGGTGGTCTAGGACTTGCTATATATATATACAAGACTGGCCACAAACTTATGGCAATCTTCTCCTTCCAAATGTGGAATCACAGGGCTGCACACCCAGCCTGAACTTTGAAGAGTCTGGGCTTATCCAGATTTCCTTTCTGTTTCCAAAACTAAGGCACTTCTTATAGATGGCAGAGTTAGTCTCCTGTTGGTAGGGGAACCCTGACCTCAGCTTATACTTTCCTAGCTCCAGAGTCAGCTGTCCTGTGGATGAAGGCTTTTCTAATTTGCTTCTGTGCTGCCATAAACACAGAAAAGAAAGGGTTTATTTCAGCTTACAGAGTACAGTCCATCAGGAGGGAAGCCAAGGCAGGAACTCAAGGCAGGCGCTTAAGCAGAAACCAATGGAAGAACGCTTCTTACTTTACTGGTTTGCTTTCTCTGTCTTGTTCAGCTACATTTCTTTTATAATCCAGGCCCACCTGCCCAAGGATGACACCACCCACAGTGGGCTGGGCCCCCCTATATCAGTTAGCAATCAAGAAAGTGCTCCATAGACCAAACCGATGGAGGAGATTCCTGAGTTAAGATTCCCTCTTCCCAGGTATGTCTAAGTTTATGTCGAGTTGAAAAAGACTAACCAGCACAAGGCCCACCAGGTGCTTTGTAAAGCCATCAGCAATTAGTGATGGCACATTAGTCTGTAATTAATCAATGAAACTCAGGGTGAGAGCCCATTACTTTGCAGAAGATAACAGCTCTCCATTTATGCCCTAAAGTGACAGACTCTGCTTAGCCTGGAGCCCACAAGGACTTGAACGGCATTGAAGCCAGAGGAGGGATGCATGAAATTGGATTGAAATGAGAAAGGATGAGAAGGGGCTTTGGATGGGATTCTAGCTGCCTCAGATCAGTCCCTCTCCCTGGCCACAGCTTCTTGCCCAGTAGTTCTGCGTGGCTTAGCTGAGGCCAGAGGAGTCAGCCTGTTCCCTTCCCCATGTGACCTCAGAGGCCCCTGAAGGTGAGCCTGGAATAAAGAGAATGAAAAAGGAGTCATTCCAGAATCCCGAAAGCCTGACTGTCCAAGTCTCCTGTGACTTGCCAAGAGCCAGCTGCTGACCTCAGAAAGGGTCCTCTTTCTGGGGATATCCCTGCCTCCTCCATACATGCTAGCCATGGTAGGTAAGCTCAGACACAGGAATGTAACTATTGACCCACTCTGCAGAGGCTACCTCTGCAACTTCTACCCTTGTTGGGGAAGACTGACCTTGGGGAGAGGTCTTCAGACTGTTAAATGCCTTCCAGGAGGAAAGTAGACTTGAGACCTGGGAATCTGGCTGCCAGTTGCCTCCTAGAGGATGAGGAACCTGGTCTCCTTGACTCAGGGACGGACTTGAAGGAGCCTGGCATGGTGGGGGTTGCCTGGTCTTCTCAAGACAGGCCCAAGCACACGCCTGGCAGCCGACCTCAAGAACACCTAGTCTGAACATGTCTTCCCACCTCCCTCTAGGTTCTCCAGGAGAGCCATCAACAGAGGCACAGTGAGCCACTTTGAAGGCCTTTTGTCTGCCATTCACCCATCTAAAGATCTGTCCTTCCTTTAGCATCCTCAGTGCCTGCTTGAATGCCTCCCTTCCTGTGTTTCTGGGAACATAGCTGTGGTCCTACTCACCCTACTAAGAGCTCTCCAAGACTCCAGCAACCAGAACAGACTGAATTGGGACCCTTCCCTTTGTTTTGCTCTCCTTGTGGACTGTCCTGGGATAAGCGCAGGCCTCACTGTGCAGTTTGCTTCGAAGTTCTAAAAGAACTAGGAGGTCCAAAGAACTGCAGGGCAAATGGGGGGGGATAGGCTCAGATGGGACTAGAGGACAGCAGAGGCATCTGGAGGCTAGCAGTCAGGGAATAAGGACAGGGATGGAGCCGGTGAAGGGGCACCAGAGAGATGGCTCAGTCAGTAATGTGCTAGCCAAGCAAGCGTTAGGACCTGAGTTCAGATCAATCCCCAGCACCCATGTAAAAAAGTCATGCTGCCTGTAACCGAAGTGCTTGGGGTACAGACAGGAGGATGCCTTGTTGGTCAACTGTCTAGCCAAATCTTTTCTGAGAGATCCAGCCTCAGAAAAGATGGAGAGTGATATAGGAATGCCTACAGCCAGCTTCTAGCCTCCTTATACATGTTCATACTCTAACACGCACACACAAGCACGTACACACATCAGGGTGGAAAGAATGGGTATAGTGGGGCATACAAACTGAAACAATGTGTATATACACACATGCCTCTGTGGGGTGTGTGTGTGTGTGCTCCCCCAGCCTCCATCCATATCTGCTGATTTTCCACATCTTCAACCCCCGGCAGTAGCCCGTAAGAAGCAGGCACCACATTTTCCCTTAGTCATGACCTTGAAGGAATAAAAACAAGAAGCTTCTCACATCCTCCCACTCACAGCTGTGCTTGGACTTGTCCGCTCACACCATGCTGGGGTGAGAGCTTCAGGTAATGCAGACTTACAGGCCTGGAGTTTGTCAGACACACTCCTCTTGTACCCTGGGGGAGGTGTAGACCTTTGTAAGGGGGATGACATTTTCCTACAGTTTGGGGGCCCAAGGTAGCCGCTCCCCTCCTCTGCACCCAACCCCACCCCCCATCCTGCTGAGACTGAACTAGATCTGAGCCCTGAGAAACTAGGCACCAGTGTCTCTTGCTCCAGACTACAGCTGCCAGGCTGTTTAGCAAGGGCTGGCCTTTGGAGACTGGCAGGGAGGAGCCTTAAACCTTGGAGACAGATGAAAGGGATGCAGGTTTTAGAGTTCCTGGGCCCTGAGGTTGTACTGGGAGACCTGGCCTCCCTTAGAACCAGAGCTCCACCAGGTGCCAAGATTACAATGCAGGTTGGGCCTGGGAGTCAGGAGTCAGATGGTCCCCTACTTCCACTCTCCCCACCCCCAACTCCAGTTCTAGATTCTCATCAAGGTCCAAAGGAGTCAGTCAGCTGTGCCAGGAAAAGCCATTACCCAGACAGACTCCCCCACCTGCTAAAAGCTTCCTCCTCCACCCCCCACCTTCTCCCCTGAGCCTCCCTGCCCCCTTCTCCTCATCTCACTCACCTACCTAACTACCTCTTGGCTAGGCTGGGGGAGACTTAACTCTTTCTGGTCCTAAGGGAAAGCTCTGTCTAATTTCCACCATCTTTTCACTCTGACTTGTTCCTGCAAAACCCCTAGATCTTGAACAGAGGAGGGCAGACGATATGACCTGGAGGGAGAAGAGGGTTGTCAAGGGACAGTCATGGGTTCCGATCTCAGTCCTGTCCCTGGCATTTTCACACCCTTGGTTTTATATTTTCTATGCACATGGAGTTGCTTGAAAATCCCCAAGAGCCTGCAAGGATGGGGGAGGGGCAGGATTGTGACATGTGTAGGAGGCCCTGCTTTCCTTCCCGCATGTCCTTAGTGCTCCCACATTCCCATGGCTGTCTTGCTGTCTTCCCCTGCCTCTGTCAGAGGTGCAGAGCCCAGTGCAGGGCTGAGGTCTCTGCGGTGGGCTGATGGCAAAGCCTGGGAGCTCTCAAAAGTCTGGCTTTGCAGGTGCAGCTATTAAGAGAGAGAACGGAAGTACAGAATGGCAGGAAGAGCTCCCGTGGCACCCTTCAGTCAGCCATGGTCACAGAGATAAAACAAAGGGATGTCAGAGGGGGATGCACCAGACCTCCCCTGCTGGGTGTGTGGTGTAGCTCCCCTCCTACAGTTTGGGTCAGGGACTGCTCATCCATGATTGAGGCAGTTAGTGTAGCAGCAGCCATTTACAGCCTGAAAGTAACACAAGGATATTAACTCTTTCATTGAGCTGTCTGATGGCCCTGGCTCTCAGGGACAATCATCTCCCACACTTAGGGGCTCTGCTGAGCCAACAGAGAACCCAGGCACGTGCCTCACCAGCACAGCCTGCCCGAGAGCCTGTGTGCTCAAGAGCCGGAAGCTCTCTTCTGCCCTGTGCCCAGCATCCAGTGTCCACTCCAGGGTTCTGAACACAATGGGTAGGGAAATAGTACACCCCACTGAAAGGGTTCAGAACTGAGGCATCTGGGCCAGCCTGGGGCTCTGGGCCACACACTTAGAGAAATGAAAGCCAGGAGAGAGCAGCTTTAGATGGATGGCACAGTACCAACTGTTATCCAGAAGCATTCTGCCATTGAACAGACCTCCATAGAAGAGTGTCCAGATGGGCTCCCTGTATATAGGCACCTGCCAGGAAATCAGATAGGTATGACATCTGCCCGGCTTTCACTTTGAGCTTCTGCACCTAAGCAAAGGCCTCTGTAGTGGCGAGCAAGACAGGGTGATCACCAGACGGTACAGCCGAGGGGAGAAGCCTGGCATACATTGAGGCCAGGTTGGCATGAGTGTCTGTATGGGGAGAGTCACCCACTTTCTGTCCACTCTCCCCGCATAGTGGAGCCCAGGAAGGGATCACAGCAGGCAGAAAGCCCCCTCTAACTCAGCTGCCCCTCCTCTCCAGGAAAACCACATCAGAGAAAGCCACTACTCACAGCCCCAAAGCAATGACCTCTGTGACCTCAGAACCCACCAGAGCGCCCATCTGGGGGGACACAGTGAAAGTGGAGATCCAGGCAGAGGACTCAGGACGAGAAGGTGAGGCTGGGGGCTGAGGGCTCGCATGTGAGAGGTGCCGGGAACACAGCCCCACGGCCATGGGAGGCAAAAGCAGGCTCCTCCCAACACAGCTGGAGATCACCTGAGCAGCTCCCTGGGCTCCCATAAAAGCATTAAAAAAATCATAATCCCATCATGCCTCATCTCCCCAGCCTGCTGCAAAAATGAGTTGTTCCACATAAATGAATTTTCCAGACAATGTGAGCTTATCTTTTTTATGATGGTTGTTATTATTTTCATGGTTGTTATTACTGCCATGTCCCACTGAAATGGCATGTTATAGTCTTGTGGCATATCCCCACGCATCTATCATTATTAGAGTCACCAGCTCCTTAGCAGAAAACACTGAGGCTTAGGGAACTTAAATAATACAAGTCCTGGTAAGCACTGACAGACTAGGCATCTTATATCACTGGAGCTCCAGGTTCTAACTGAGATTGGGTTTGTTTGATAAATGCCCCTAGCTAGAATGGATCTTCATCCCTGGCTAATCCTCCCTTGTTCTTGGACCAGGTACCTGCATACACACTTGCAAGTGCACACTGTGTGTTTCTCACTGTGAGACCATCTAATGTCTACCCTCAAGTGAGAGGTTGGGCTGGACATACCGAAGTACTGACTGCTGATGCCGGAACTGCCTGGGAGCACTGGCACTGGGCAGCCTGGGAGCACTAGCAGCACAGAGCAGAGGTTCCCTGCCATGCCCCTGAACTCCGCTAGTCCAGAATCCTTACTTCTTTCAGGTGACTCTAGAAGAGAAAGCAAGCTTTACTGCCTTCCTTCTTCACCTCATAGAGCCAAAAGCTGACAATCAAGAGACTGTGGGAGGGAAAGAGGTAACACAGTGGACCCCACACATGGGGAGAAGGCTAGCTGTAGTCAGGCAAGACTTTAAAGGAAGAAGTGGAGCTGTGGGGATGGTTTGAGAAGATACGGAAGAGAAGAAAAAAAAACTACCCTTGGGATTTCTCATAGATGCACGTGTGTCTGTACACCCACACCTTTGTGAAGGCCTGCATCTTGGCTCATGTGTTTATGTGAATGCCATTGCATAGTATTGTTGTCTGTGGTGTATTCCCTCCACCCCCATCATCGCCATGCTCGCCCCCCTCTCTGTGTGTGTGTGTGTGTGTGTGTGTGTGTGTGTGTGTGTGTGTGTGTGTAGGAAGTTAGCGATGGTAGGTGGACCCTGCCCCTCTGCCATGCACAAATGGGATGAAATGAGGAAATGCGTAATGAGGTCAGTAGTCTTGGGTCTTTTGTGTAGCTGGAGGCAGGACTAATTGCAGGAGGGACAGGAGGGTAAAGAGGCCACATGAATCAGAGAATATTGGCAGGCACCTCTTTACAGATTGAAGTCACTTGTTGGAACCTAGTTAGAACTGGTTGCTGTGGTGATATCTACAGAGCGGGTAGGGAATTGGGGGCCAGGCCAAGAGGCAAGAGGATTGGAAGGAGGTAGCTTGAGGACATGTTAATGAAAAGCAAAAGGGTCAAGGCCAAAGTGGGCGGGTAGCCAAGATGGCTTGTTGGTCACACAAAAGGAGTGGTGGGAAGCAGAAGAACTCAGTGCCCAAACGGGAAGCTGATGAAACGTGTTTGACACAAGAAGATAAGATTATGGCTATCCATTGCCCCAGTTACTGCTCGGGCCTAGACTCCTACAAAAACAGGGTGTCCCAAGATAGGTAGATGCAGGGTCTCATAAAATCCAGATCAGTTTGGGGGGCACAGAGTCCATGGGGGTAGCTATGTGTTTACAGCTTCCTCTGCTACTGTCGTTGGATCTTGGCTGTGAGTCCTGGCATCCCCCTGTAGAATCTTCTCAGGTCTGCTCAGGGATGGGTGATATGTGGAGAGCTACAGATGGTTAACAAGGGAAAACTGGTAAGAGCCTGGACGGGGCGTATGGGGTCCTCATTCATAAGTCCTTCCTCGGAAATCTTTAGGAATTGAATACGATTTATTTCTTTTCTGTTTGGTTGTTTAAAGTATTAATGCTATACAGAAGCCTAGAGTGGCTCAATGACTTCCTAGGGGCCAGAAAGAAAATTAGCATCTTGGTAGGAGAATCCAGACCTGCTGTCTTTAAATTCTGGTGGTATTATACTTTCTTCTGATCAATTGCAAGACTGTCCAGTGCCTCCTCCTTTCTGGGTACTGATCCCTGTAGCCCACTCTTGGCAAGGGGCTTCCCCTCTCTGTGTGTTCAGGGTAGCTGTAAGGAACCTGAGAACAAAATAACAACGTCCTACCCTCTAGTCGCCCTACTGCAGGTGGGAGGGGTACACAGGGCTAGGGCAGCAGCTGTCTGGGAAAGGGTACCCCTCAAGCATAATCCTTGTCCTCCCTTGTCCTCTCTTAGCTTCTCCTTCTCTAGGCTTCATCTTGCCTCCCCCCATCCCTTTATCCTTCTCCTCTTTCCCCATCTCTTCCTCCTCAAAAAAGAATCACAGATGTCCAAGAATGGGGAAAAAATGCATCGAGTCACCAAATCCAACCTCTTTGCCACCCATTTCCTAGCTGTGTAATGTTGATCCAGTTTCATGCCCCCTCTGAGTGTCACTGATCATATTTTAGAGAGAAGGGTGATGAAGCTTGCTGTAAGAATTCATAGGAATAGTAGCTGGATACTTGTTATTGCCATGCCTGGAACTCAGCAGGTGCTAGTGAGTGGGCACCCTGATCATTTCCAGGATGCTGGCTTTATCCTTAAAGTTTATCCTGATTTTAAGAGACAATGTGGTCTTTAGGAAGTGTTTACTAAATGGTGTGTTGATCTTCATTCTAATTTCTTTGGAGAAGAGACTGGAAAAATGTCTCAGTGTTTAAAAGCACTTGCTGCTATTGCGGAGGACCTGGATTCGGTTCCCAGCAGCCACATGGCAGCTCACATCCATCCATAACTCCATGACTTAGCTACAGTTTCTATTGCAACTATCATAGAGGAAAACATTTAATTGGGGTAGCTTATAATTCAGAGGTTTAGTTCATTATTATCATGGTGACACATGGTGGCATGCAGGCAGATATGGTGCTGAAGGAGCTGAGTTCTACATCTTGATTTTAAAGCAACAGGCAATGAACTGAGACACTGGGCATAGCTTGACCATATTAGACTCAAAGCCTACTTCCACAGTGACACACTTCCTCCAACAAGGCCATACCTACTCCAACGAAGCCAAACCTCCTAAGAGTGCCACTCCCTATGAGCTTATGGAGGCAATTACGTTCAAACTACCACACCACATTCCAGTTCCAGGGACTCTGACTCCCTCTTCTGGCCTTTGCAGGCACAGGGCTCTCACATGGAGTACATGCATACATGTAGGCAAACACTCGTTCACAGAAAATGAAAATAAATAAAATTTAAGTTGGAGAAGACTTTTTAAATTATCTTTATTTTCTGAGTATGGGTGTTTTGTCTGCCAGATGTCTGTACATCACATACATGCAGTGTCTATGGAGGCCAGAAGGGAGTGTCAGACCTGGAACTGGACTTACCAGTGTTGTGAGCTGCCATGTGGGTGCTGGAAATGGAACCCAGGTCCTCTGGAGAGCTGCTAGTACTCTTAAAGCTGAGCCGTCTCTCCAGACCCCACGGGGTAGACTTTTTTAAAGATTTGTTTATTTATTACATATACAGTGTTCTGCCTACATGCCAGAAGAGGGCGCCAGACTGAATTGTAGATGGTTGCAAGCCACCATGTGATTGCTGGGAATTGAACTCAGGACATCTGGAAGAGCAGTCAGTGCTCTTAACCTCTGAGATATCTCTCCAGCCCTGGAGTAGACTTTTATAGGTTCTTATATTGAAAGCTTTCTTGAGTAGATTGTTTTTCTTTACTGATCCTCTGTTTCCCTACCTAAAGCACATGGGACACACTCCTTCCCATCCACGTGAAGAGGCAGTGGGAGTGTGTATGACCAAGAGAAGGGGTCTTATTCCTGCATGTGGCACTATTACTACTTGCCTATAACACTGTGCTCACATGTCTATTGCCTTATGGTACTGGTCTTGGTCCTACGTGTCCATTCTGGGGCTCAGAGCTTCTTCACATTTGGAGGTTCTAACAGCACGTGACATGGAGCCTTTCCCTGGATAGAATGCCTGGGGGTTTATATGCACATGTGTGTTCTCTACATGTACATGTGCTGTGTAACTTTTCCGAGGGTAAACAAATGTATTTACCCCAGGTGGTGTACCATAAAAAACTAATAATTCCTCTCAAGTCTAGCTTGATTGACCAAAAAGTTTACTTAGGTTACTTCAAGGAAGGAGTTACTATATTAATTTCCTTCCCCCCCATTGCTGTGATAAAGCACTGACCAATAACAACTTGGGGGAAGAAACGGTCTATTTGACTTACAGGTTATAGTCCATCATCAGGGGAAACCAAGGCAGTAACTCAAGACAGTAACTTCGAGAAAAAAATCAATAGAAGAACTCTGCTTACTGGCTTACTCACTTCTTTTCTTAAACAGACCACAGCCATCTGCCTAAGGATGGCACTGCCCACAGTGGCCTGGGCCCCCCCTACATCAATTAGCAATTAAGAAAATGCCCCCAAAGACCTGCCTACAATTCAATCTGATGGAGGCAGTTCTACTGGTGGTCCTTCTTCCCACATGACCCCAGTTTGTGCCAACTTACAAACTTACAGTTCCAGGAGCATGGTGACTCAAAGGCAGGGTGACATCACTGAAGAACTCACCCTCAGCTTGGGTGGCATCCGTGCGTGGATAGTTTGGCATAGCTTTCGGGCAACTCCACCAGAGTCTCTTTTTACTAGTAATTGCTGACTGCTGTTATCATCTTAGGGAGGGACTTGTGAATCTTGTAGCTTTCCGAGCCTTTTCATTTCATGGTTTTCCTGAGCGTTATGAGCCTCCCTCCTCCCTCCAGAAGGGAATGTTTAAAGCTATGAAAATGGCTACGCAAGGAAAGACATGCATTCCTCCATGTGTTCCATCGTCTGTCTCAGCAATGTCCCTTGCCTCTCACTGTCTCCCGTCACTGGGAAAGCTCTTTCCCACCCCCACTCTCTCCAGATGTCATCCTCAAGGTGATGGACAACAATAAGAAAAAGGAGCTGGTGTCCTATGAAGTCCCCATTAAATACCTGCGTGTCTTCCACCCGTACCACTTTGAGTTTATAAAGGTAAGCCCAAGCGAGCACTGGGCTCTGAGCCTAACCTCTGGCTGGGTAAGAGAGATCTGATGGGAAGTGCTTTGATGTTCCCAAATGTTCTCTGAGAATAGAGTTGAGGGTAAACCGAGGTCATGCTCCTCCCAAGCCGGAGATACGGAGTATAAATTTGGTAGGCAAAATATTCTCCAGAAAGAACCCTGTTGGGGACATCTGAATACCAACCTGGAGTAGAAACTCCTGCTTCTCAACCTTGGACTAGACTCCTTGGTGCTGATTGGTGAAGGTGAAGATTTACTTTCATTGCTCACTTATTTATTAAGCACCTACGGAGTGTGGTCCTGGGCCACAGAGGAGCAGAGCGTCACTTTGCTCTCCTCCAACACGCACTCCAGACCCTTTCCTTTCAAAGGAAAGGACCATGTGAGATAAGATTGTCTGGGATCCTGTTCTAGGTCTGCCACTTACTAGTTATGTCCGTAGGAGTTCACTTTACCCCGGACCTCCATTGCTCCACGGCAAAGGCAAGACAAGCACCTCTGGATAGGCTCCAGGGTGGTGATGGGTAGAGTGCTGTACATGGGAAGAACTCAGCACATGTAGTTCCCATCCCGACTCCTTCCCCCAGGCCTTGGCACTCACTTTCCTGCCAAGCAACTCTTCAACTATAGTGCCAGAGATCATTATCTTCCCTGGGCTGCAGGACTACAGAAGGGGCACCAGGGCAGGCAGGAAAGCAAAGACCCCAAGAGACCCTGGAGGAAGCCCTAGACCTGTCTTGTGGGGCACCTGCAAGGCCCTAGCTCTCTGTCCACTTACACCCCAGGCCTCCTTATCACATCCTCACCAAGAGAGCAGGCAGGAAGTAGTCCCTGTGAGGGCAATGAAATATTCAAGCAGAAAAGGGGAGATTTATTGGCTGATCTTCTTGGAAGGGCTCCCAGGGACTATGAGCTTTAATTACAGCTCGAGTCCCAGTGGTGCAATGATAAGCAAGTGTCCACACTGGCTGGATTTATGACCAGGCTCTGCCCCTTAGACATTCTCCTTCCTATGTATCTTCTGTCTTCATCCTGTCTTCACCCCGTGCAGTCTGAGAAAGCTGATGAAGCCACTGCCAAGACCCGCCTATATGCCACCATGGTTCGGAAGGGCAGCTTGCTACCCCGTTACATTGGCTGTGACCATACAGCTCTGGAGGTACCAGCACTGGGGGACTGTGGGGACTGTGGGGACAGGTGGAGCCCTTGATCGCCTCTGAATGGTCAGAGAGTATGGAGCAGAGGTGTCTAGGGAAGAAATCAAAAAGGGCAAAGCAATGAGACCTTTCTAAATTAGCCATAGTGGGACTAACGAGATGACTCAGTGGGTAAAGTATTTGCTAAGCAAACCTGATGACCTAAATTCAATCCCTGAAATACACATAGAAAACTGACTCCACAAGGTTGTGCTGTGGCCTGCACACACACATAAACATACGCATGTGTGCACATGCACACACACACACATGTGAATGCACGCACACATGCATGCCAACACCATGGCCCAAGCATACCTCCCACACACCTAGGGCCTGAGACTCCCAGACAAAACCTGTCATCTCCCTGGCCCTTCCTAAAGTTTGGCTGGTCTACTGCTTGAGCATTTACAACCTCATTCATTCGTTCTCCCGACAGCTACTTATACACCCTCACCCACTGGGCAGATCAAGCATGAGCCATACCATGATCTTTCACCTTTCAGCCCAAGGACAGCTTCAGGAGGTAAAATTGATGCTTGAAGCAGACATGGCCCAGGCACCCAGGCCCTGAGCTGTTCCCTAGGCCACATATTCATACACACAAATGTCTGTGTGATCCATAGAGCTCTGCCATAGCCTTCTCCTACCCCAGAGACCCAATCTGGAGCACCATGAGCCTGGCAGGGCAATAACTGATCTCTAGCCCCAAGAGACCCAAGTGAGTCTGATAAGAGTCCAGAGATCCTGAACATCTCTGCCTCCCCACAGCCACCCACTGGGTGTCAGCAGGTATCTGTTCCCTCTCTTCTGCCTGGCCCCTTTCTAGGACAAACAGTGATTCCAATATACGGAACAAGGAAGAGTAAAGTCAAGACAGCTTCGCTGTCCACAAGCTTCATCCAGGGAAGGGGGTCACAGCCCCAGGACAGTGGACCTGCCCCACCCCTGCCTCTGTCTTCTGGCTTGTCTAATAGAGTCTGAGCTCTCCTGCCCCCCAGCAGTCCCCCTGCCCACCTGCCCGCTCCCCATTACAGCACAGACCTTCTTCCAGAATGTGTCACAGTATATCCACAGAAGCACCTGTCACAGGAGACGCAGTGGGAGAAGAAATTGCTTCAGCTACTCACCAGGCTGCCACGAGCAGTTGTACTGCTACAGCTGTCTCATTCACAGCTGGCCAGAGTCAGCACACTCCAGGTGTAAATTACCCATCCCCTACAGACACACTTAGACCATTACCTTCAACCCTCATACCTGTTGGAGTTCTTGTGAGCAATAGGGTGTGACAGCTCATCACTGACATCAGAGGCTCACTGGGGGCCCCACTGAGAGCCAAAAGGCACTAAGCATGGTTTAAGTGTTTACCAGCTCACACCTGTGTGGAGTTAGCCAGCAGCAGCCCAGCAGACATGGGTGCAGACAGAAGGACCTCAGGGGATGAAGTGATGGAGGTACCCAGAGCAAGCCCCACCCCTAGGCTGCTTTTCCCACTGGAGAGCAGAGCCAGAAGACCCGAACTCTGGATGCACAGGTTGGAAAAGTGAGGCCTAAGGAGGAGCTGGGTCTGGTCAAGGTTTCCCAGCTTGGGCAGACCCAGCAAGGGAATGACCCCTCAGCTGTGTTCAGGGCCCATGCCCTCCCTCCCTTTTTTCCTTAGGACCCAACCAATTTTTGAGGCTAGTTCAACTCCACCCTTCCTAAGGCCACCATGTCTCTCCCACTGTGTCCCCAGGAATCTCTGTCCTTCCATCCTTCTTAATACTCAGTAGCACAAGCACACCTCTCCTGCCATCATTCTCTCTCTCCCTCTTTAATGTCACAAACACTGTTGACTCTCGCTGTGTGACAGGTTCTGTGTTAAAAAATGGGAATACAACAGTGAATGGGATGCATGTGTCTGCCCAGGCCAGTCATATCAGATAGAGAGCAAACAGGAACCAAGAAGCTCCAATTCTGGTGGTTGCTACAGAGGAAGAATGCAGAGGCCAAGAGAACAGGCTTCTTTAGTTATTAGAAATAATGTGGGCCAGGAATGGTGCCACAGAACCTAGAGGAGGAGAAGCAGCTATTGGGATAAATTGGCAAAGGATGAGGGTATGGAGGCCCAAGGAGAGGAATTGGTGTGTGCAAAAGCAGAAACAACAATGTGTTAGGAGAGAAAAAGACTTCAGCAAGAAGAGGGGCCTGGGGAGCTGGCAGGAAAGGTGGGCAGAGGAGCAGACAGGAAAACACCTGTGGGCTTTGGCACCATAGCAACACTGTGGAAGGTGGGCTGCCCGGGCAATGCTGACACCGAGGGATAGCCTTCTCATCCACCCTTTGCCAGGAAAAGCCCTGCGGTGAACAGGCACCAGGGTTGACGAACGTCAAATCAAACAGTGCCTGGTATGACCCCTGACGTTGGATTGGGAGACTCAACACAGCTGGAGAAACCAGTCCTGGGTTCAGTGTCCCCAGTTTACAAAGTGTCCTCTTGTCTCACTGTCTAATCAGAGAACCCCCTCTTATAACCCAGGAGGATCCACGACCATAGTTTTGCCCCAGTAATTGTCTGGACCTCTTCCCAGGCCTGAACCCCTGCTTGTACACCTTGTCCCTTGAGGCAGCTGAATTCCAGGAGTGCCCCTAGGAAACCAGGGGCACTTGCCAAGTCAGATCCAGAGGGTGACATCCTGAAGTAGAGAAACCTTAAGCAAAGCAAGAAGCAAGGGAAGCAGGGGCAGGGAGGAGCAGGTCCCAGGAATGGGTAGTAGCATGATGGTCATGTGATAATGGCAGGCGTAGGGATGGGATCATGTGATCATAGCAGGCATAGGGATGGGATCATGTGATCATAGCAGGTGTAGGGATGGGTCATGTGATCATAGCAGGTGTAGGAATGGGCCATGTGATCATAGCAGGTGTAGGAATGGGAGAGATGTCAGGGGTAGAATGGGCGCCTTCAACTGCTTCTTCCCTTCTCCAGGTCTTTCTTAGGGGAGTCAATGAGCCCCTGGTCAACAGTCCCAACCCCATGGTGGTGATTGCTCGGGTGGTTCCCAGCTATACTGCATTTAAGTAAGTGGGTGCAGGTTAGGCGGGAGGGGAGGGCAGAGGGCTGGGATGTGGGAAAGGTCCCTTCCCCAAAGTTCCTTCTAAACTCCCCCAGCACACCCCATGACCTCAGGCTCTAGTGAGCTTCCCATAGCAGAAGACCCTGATCCCCTGCAAAGAGAAATTTCTGAGCAGGTAGGGCTGAAGAGCAGGAACTAATTGGTATTAAGGAGCCCAAGAGAGGACCCCCTTCCCTGCCCAGGGGCATCTCTGACCCCCAAAACAATCCTCCTATCCCAAGCTCACCACCCCAGTCTAAGGGTCCCCAAAGAAGATGGTCTAAAGCCATCTTGGAACATTAGTCCTGCCTGAGTGTGTCCCCCAATTCCCAGTCCTCTTTTAGAGTCAGTCCTTGGGAAAGAATTCAGGATAGTTTGGCCACTGAAAGTCAAAGAGAGGGATGTTCTTCAGGCAACGTGTGCACTCTGTGACAGCATCCCTCCCGGAGTTGGCTGTCTGCCTGTCACTGTCCAAGCTGACCTTCTGGCTCTGAGGAGTTTTTATACCCTAAAAGCCCCACTTTCATGTTGGAGGCGTGATCACTAGTGTCCTGCTGCAGTGACAATACACCATGGGCCCAAACTGCAAGTATGTGTGCATGTCCCCGCACAGGATCTTCACCCCTTAAGCATAAGCCAGGAGGAATTCTGATAAAGATTTTCTAATACGAAGTGGGGAAGGCAAGGCCCATTTTAAAGATGGTAACGCTGACTTGCTCTGATACAGTCAAGGTCACTTCAAGTCACTGCTAAGGGATCCTGAGAGCCATGGCTGTCACCTCCAGACCAAGTTAAGCCTTCCCAAGGCCTGAGCGGGAGATCACCAGTGTGTTTGTTACAAGGTCCTGGCTTAAAAACACTCCCTTTCACCTCAACCCAGAGTCCAAGTGTGAGCCCCAGATGCCACGCTGGCCACAGGTCAGAGAGGCCAACTCCTGTCTCCTTGCCTCTCCAGGGCCAGCCAGGCCAGGCAGGACCCTGCCTCTGTGGGGCTGCCCCTCACCCAGATTTCCTTCCCTATCTCATCACCAATGAACTTTGATGTGCCTCGGGTCAGCCAGAACGGGTGTCCTCAGGTAGGTCCCTTCCAATAATGGCCCCTCACTGGAGTATACTAGTAACAGACACATTCATTCATCATGACATCAGCCGGCAGCTCAGCTGACTACTGAAGAGCACTTTGTACATCTCACTGCTGCCCAGGATCCTCTCCTGCGTGCTACACAGAACCTGCCCTCAGGACTCCCAGAGATACTAAATATCCACCCAGATCATGTCTAATCTAGTAACAATCAGCTGGGACTATCAGAGCTGCGACAAGAAGAGGAGAGGAGACACAAAGAACAAATAGTATGGATTCCACTTGTCATGGAGCATCTCAAACCAACAGTCATAGGGACAAGAAATGCAATCGTGTTATCAAGGGCTGGGGAGATGAGAGAGCAGGGGACTACTGATTTGTGGGTGTGAAACACTTAGGATGATGTGTGGGCATGCATGCGCACACGTGTGTGTGTGTGTGTGTGAGTGTGTGTGTGTGTAACAGGTCAATGTCCAATGTTTTCCATTTTATTGTTTTCATATCTTTAAATTTTGGGAGGGATGAGGTGTGTGTTCACATGCCACAGAACAAGTATAGAAGTAAAGAAATCAACCTATAGGACCCTGCTCTCTCTTTCCACCATATGGGTCCCAAGGATTGAACTCGGGTTATCAGTCTTGGCAGCGAGCACCTTTCCCCATTGAACTATCTTGCCAGCCCTGACTCACATTTTATCTGGAGCTCACTGACTCAGCTAGATTGGCTGGCCTGCAAGTCCCAGGGACCCTCCTGTCTGCATCTCCATGCTGGGATTCCAGGTGCTGGGGTCAGAACTCAGATCTTTAGCAAGATCTTTACATAATTTGACCATTTTCTCAGCATCCATAATATATTTTAACCAGAGAAATGGAATTTTTATGTCTGGATGGTTAGGGAAGGCAAGTCTTGACCCTTCTTCACCTTGTTTTTGAGACAAGGTTTCCTTATATGCTCTCCATCTGCCTGCCTTGTCCTCCCATCCCTGGTAAAATAGGCATGTGCCACTATGCCAACTTAGTCATCACTTTTTAAGTTTTTTCCTTTTTAATTCATTATTATTGTGTATATATGTATCATATAGGCATGGGGCAACCATACCACAGCACACATGCAGCACACCAGCACATGTATATATATATGCATATATATAATTAAAAAGAAAAAACTAAAAAACATTGACTAAGTGCCTTGACAGCTAGTCTCTTTAGCACTGAACAGTTTTGCCAGACCATTGGTCTTGTTGTTTTGATATGGTCTTCTTGTTTTGATATGAAAGGGTTTGTCTAGAGCAGTGATTTATATCATACTATATATAGTATAACCCAAGATGTAGTGCTGGTTGGGAATGGGCAGGAAGGCATATGTTTAAATATACTGGAGAAAGAGTGCACAGGTCATGACTGAGCTCAGAAAATGGCCAGATTGACCTCCTACAGTCTGCATGCCACTGGGAGCTTGCTCTACACGATGGAGGAGGCTTGGAAGACAGTGTGTTCCTAGAAGTCCCTCCAGTCGTCTGCCCACTAAAATTAGAACAAGACACTCTGTTGGAGGCCCAGCTTTCATTTAGAGGCAGACATTTAAAGAAGGCTCAGACACAGACAGATGTAATGGTAGACAGAGAAGGATGGGATAAAGGGGATTCATGGGGACAGCTTCAAAACCAAACCAATCCTCAGTCTGATTTCCCCAGAGCCATCTCACACATGGCCCTGCATTTGCACAGAAAATTATGAACCAATCAGCAGCTGTCCCAGGGGGCAGGAAGTACTGCCTGCTTTAATGAGGGAGCCTCTCCAGGCCTGACCACTGCCTAGCTCCACATGAATGCACTCCTCAAGACAGACTTCCCAGTGCTTCTCCCACATGTGGGACTCAAGAGCCCAGCAGTAACAAGACCCTTGCAAAGGTTACCCAGTATGGTGGCAACTGGATGAGGGTTGAAGCTGCATGTAGCCTGTGCAGAGATGCCCAGAAGCCAGCAGAGAAAACAATAGAGGAACAGGCCGGGAAGTAAAGGGGATCTGGTCAGGAACCCTGAGCCTAGAGAGCGCACAGTCCCCTATCCTGCCCCTTCTGAGTTCCATCTCTCATCTTTGCAGTTGGTGGAGTGGGGACTGAACCAGATAATTTCTAAGTCTGGTCCTCTTTGGCATCTTGGAGCACTGTGAGTTTCCCATAAACCCCTGGGCAGGGGCTGCTAGTCTCAACAGACCTAGGTTGGAGTCCAGCTCTGTAGCTTGCTAGCTGTGTGACCTTCAACAGACCTATTGACTTCACCCTGACTAAGCTGTTAGAGTGAAAAGGCTAACCCAGGCTAAGAGTCCCTTCTTCCTCTTCAGAGCTTCACACCCTGTATACCTAACTACTCTACCTGTGATGAACCCCACAGAAAACCCAGCTCAGATGTACCTGTCTACTGCCATGCGTCACAGGTAGTCTTGGCAGTAGATGCTGCAAGGTGGTCGCCCGTAAGGACATGATCTCTAGCACCTAGTAATGACCATCTGGGCAACCAACTGCTCCTGGGAGCAAAGTGTCCCAGGTTTCTAGACAAGGCTAGTGAAGAGCTAGGTTTTTGCTTTTGTTGTTGTTGTTGTTGTGTTTTGTTTGTTTTTTCGAGGCAGGGCTTCTCTGTATTGTTTTGGAGGCTGTCCTGGAACTTGCTCTGTAGACTAGGCTAGTCTTGAACTCACAGAGATCCGCCTGCCTCTGCCTCCGGAGAGCTGGGATTAAAGGTGTGCACCACCAGTGCCCTGCAAGAGCTAGAGCTAGGTTTTTATGAGAAACTGGTAACTAACCCTTCCCACTAAGTGCCTAACTAACCTTCCTTCTGGTTTCATTGGCTAGAATCAGGTCACAAGCCCTTCCTTGAGCCAATTACTGAGGAGGGTGTGGTTCTGACTTGCTGATAGCTTAAACCAGCAGGTGTGAAGAAAGGAGCCACCTGGATAAGAGGGCTCTACCTTTTGGCTGTGAGCCAAGGACAGAATGTACCAGGTCACCCACAGTCTATTCCACTCCTCCCCCAGCCTGGTGAGGATGGCAAAGCCCAGGCTCTGATCGGTCAAGGGATAGATCAAACATGTCTGGTTGGACATAGGCTTGCATGCTGGACCCACCTGCTTGCTCCTGTAGCTCTCACAACCTGCAGAGTTGGGGCAGAGCTCCCAAGGATAAAACAACTGGAGGGAAAGAGCCATTTGTGCCCATCATCTCTTTCCATCCCAGCCTCACAGCCAGTCTTCCCAAGCTCTGGTCTTTTCCACCACCCTGGACTCACTCTGGTACTGGCTGCCTTTCTTGCCTGAGCCATTGCAGCCCCCTTCCTGTTGCAGCCTTGCTCATTTGTTCTCTGAGAAGCAAGTAAGGTGTGCCCTGCCCCAAACCACCGGCCTCCCTTGGACCCTTCATCCCTCTCGCACACAGGACCAAGCCAATAGCTATGCGCTGTTCATCCAGACACAGAGCTCATCACTCCAGTTCTCACCCAGCCTCGGGGAGGACTCACCCACTGTTCTTTTCATCCATCCCGTCTCACCTCCAACCTTGACCTTAAGCCTCAGATCTTCCCTGCCCTAGATAAGAGGCGTGGCATTCTCTTCACATATCCTAATTGCTACCCCAATAACTTGCTCAGGCTCTGCATGATGGCAGGGGTGGGTGTTTATCCAAATGCATGTATATACTCTATACTCTTGGAAGCTCCAGGAAGGGGCAGAATATGTCTCTAGCTCTCCCATAGTCTCTGCAATACCCTACAAGTGTCTGTTGTGGTGTCCCAGGCAACACCTGCTAAGTTAAGTCAACCTGAACTTTTGCCTACTAGAAAAATATCCATTGGCTCCTTCAACCTTGCAAAAGCCTTTCAAAATGTGAAGCACAAGGCATTTGACAAAAGAAAGGAAGAAAGAGAGAAAGAAGAAAAAGAGAAAGAAAAGGAAAACAGAAAAAGGAAAAAAAACCCCACAGGTCCCAGAAAGGGGAAGGAACCCACTGTGATCCAAACAATAAGCTTAGAGTGGTCCCCGGGCCCAGAGCCAAGGGTCCTAGCTTGCTGAAAGCCTCAGCTAGCACCAGCCTCCCAGCAAGACTCCACTGTGCCTGGGCAGAACCAACAGCAGTGGATGAGGGTGAGTGTGAGAGTGAGTCGAGAGGAAATAGGAGGAGGAGGAGAAAGGGCCAAGGACCCATGGAATGAAGGCTCTGTCCCCAGGGAAGGCAGGTCTGCCTCAGTGGCAGAGGGTTAATGGCTTTTCTGAGGATCACAGCTGAGGGTTAATCATATTCCTTAATTCCAAAGCCCACCATAGCCTTTCCCATTAGCATCTTCAGGCCATGTCTACCCTACACCCACCCCCTCACCCCTGCACAGCATACAGATCAGCCTCTAAGGCTTTCATCTTTACAGGACTGATAATAGATTGTTATTTAACTTTGAGTCTCATGCACGCTCATTTTTTTATGACAGAGGGAGAGAGAGAGATACAGAGATAGAGACAGAGACAAAGAGGAAAGGAGAGAGAGAATATGTATGATTCACCCTCTCAAATTCTAGGTATGAAGGGCTTTTCCCTGGGGGACTTACTCTGGGAACCCATTCAAGGAAAGGGCTGTCCCTCATTGGGCAGGCAGCTACTTACCACCTCTTGCCATATAGACTCCATTTAGATCTGTTAATAAGTCCCACAGCAGACAGCTAGCATCCATTAAATAACCCTTTCCCAGGATAGAGGCAACAAATGAGGCAGCAGGAAACCAAGTCACAACCCCTCCTCCCTGAGGGCCACGTGTCCTGGCAGCTGGCCCAGGCAATGTGGATAACCTCCTCTGATACCCAGGATATGGGAGGGTCGTGGTGTGGGGACCAATCCTGAGTGATCCATACCAAGGTCCACAGAACTGACACCTGGCTTCTTGGTCCTGGACTGCTGGACAGGTGGCTGTCCCTGAGCTTCTACCCTGACATTTTAGGGATGTGCCTATGACTCCAGCCACTATCCTAGTGTTCATTTGCCCCTGTGTTGACCACAGACTAGCTCCTTGGGGACAGGGAAAGATTCAGCCAAGCCTTGGGCAAGACTCCTGAGGACCAGAGCAAGCTCATTTGCGGGGCATCAGTAACTCCTTGAGTGTTTGTGCTGACCTTTCCCTGTGACTGCTAATCCCCTCAGTAGGACCACTGCCACTGTGGCTGACAGTCCCTGAAGCAGAGGCAAGGCAGCCCATGCTGAGACCATGCAGGGCTTCATGCTGAGAGTTATAGGCCTCTTCCCCACCTTCCTATCTATGTGGATTCTGGGATTTTCCATGAGTGCGCCCACCCCCTTCCAGCATCCTTCACATGTGCTGAGATGTGAGTCACCTCCATGCCCTGTTGCTTGTGTTCACTCTCCCACCTAGAAGCCCCTCCCTCCTCTTTCACCTTGTCACATCTCCCTTCAGAACTTCCCCCGTCCAGCTTCCTTTGAGGTTTTTGGACCACCCAGAGTCTCCCTTATTTGGACATTAGTCAATGCTCTCACATTTCATCTTCCAAGCCATGCCCATGAGTTTGCCCCATCTGCTGCTTGATAGTGCCTTCAAGTCACATGAGTCCCTAAGGGTTGCAGCCTGATAAACCCAGGTTCTGGAACCTGAAGATGTATGTGGTCTTCTGAACAGGACTGGAGTAACTTGAATGGAATAGAAAGAGACTGTGAATGTTGGTACAATACTTGGAAAACAGTACACACACCTAGCAAGTACCCTAGAGCATGAAAATCCTTTCACTGAATAATACCTTAGATATTTGTACTAAGAAAATAGTCTGGGATACAGAGGGATGTGGCAAGGAGGAACATCCAAGTGTTGTCACAGAAAAAAAACATCAGAAAATGAGAGAGCAAAATGACTCAGAGAGTTAAGGTTTGCTGCCACACCTGACAATCCTAGTTTGATTATCCAAAACCACATGGTGGAAGAAAATAACTGATTCAAGCGAGTTGCTCTTCAACCTCTGCATACATGCTGTATTGTGCATGTTCTTACACACACACACACATTAAAAACTTAAAGATATAAAAGGAAAAATCAGGACAGTTGGACATGACAATGCATCTTCTAGGGTAGGTGGGCTCTGTTTTGATTTTTAAGAGGGTCTTATGTAACCCAGGCTAGCCTCAAACTTGCTGTATAGCTGAGGTGTCTTCCAACTCTTTACATAGCCCAAGTTGTCCTTGAACTGCTGATTCTCCTGCCTCCACCTCTCAAGTGCTAGGATTATAGGTCTATGCCACCAAACATAGAATATCTTGAAGTTACTAAGGTCACTTGTAGTGAGAGTTTCTTGAGACTCTGTGTATGCTCATGTTTTGATTGCAAACGGAAAAGGTCAGAGTGGTAATTAAACATATACAATATGCACTGAAAAATGGGAACATGGTGGTATTGAATGACTGTCTTTTTTTTTTCTAATACAGGATTTCTCTGTGTCACTCTGTAGACCAGGCTGACCTCAAACTCAGAAAACCACCTGCCTCTGCCTCTCAAGTGCTGGGATTAAAGGTGTGCACCACCACAACCCAACTTGAATGGTTGTCTTAATGTAAGAATATAGGAATTTTCCCTTCCTTTTATTTACTACTTTTTATAACTGGGACAAACATTTGTGGCATGTAAGGGATACATGTACAACCAAATCTGGAAGAAAGTGTGACCCCACACCTGCTCCCACGTTCTTCCAGCTGTCCAGGCCTGGAGGACCCCCCGAGCAGCCCTTATGGAACCAGTCCTTCCTCTTCCAAAGCAGAGATGGAGCCACCAGTTTCTCAGGGGACACAGCCCTAGTACTGGAGTATTATCCTTCTGCCTCAAGTAAGTGCCCAGTGTCCCATCAGGGAAGAATTCATCAGGATGGTCCTATTAAGGTTTGGGCCACGTGTCTCTGCTTTCTATGAGGACTGCCTAAGGGTCTCCAGGAGACCGGAAGCCCAAAGTATAGGCAGAAGACGAGAAGAAGGTCCATTTTAAGTCCATGTCCATAGGCCAGCTGCAGAGCACAGGCCAGGAAATGTGGACCTGTCCCTGCCTGGACACCATAAGTATCTGTCAGTGAGAAGAGAGTGTACTGGAGAATGGCAGAAGAAACTGCTGATCCCAAGTCCCAATCCCGTAGTCTAAATTCACACACACACACACACACACCAGAGGACAGAGGCAGGGTGATCCAGAAAAATACCTATGGATATAAAACCCACTTAGAGCTCACTCTGATCTAATAAATCTATAAAGAAACAAAGAGGCTGAGTGTGTGTCTAGGGGAAACAGGAGGCAGGGAACCAGGGGCATCAGGAGCCTAGAGAGCAACATGTCTAACACCAAGGACAGAACCCAGGGAATACCCTAAAACTCATCTTGACAGGAGACTCAGTTGGTCCTTCCTCCCACAGTGAAAAGCAGTGAACCATGGGCCCTCAAGAAGCCCCTAGGTGTCTCCGTGCTGCCACTAAAGTCTCGTCTATACCACAAGATGTTGACAGGAAAAGGCTTGAAGGGGCTGTATGTGGAACGGCTCCCCATCACTGTAAGTCCCTACCATTTGTTGGTCCCCCACATGGTCCCACCCCACTCCTGATCCATGGAGGGAATCTGATTTCTTGGAGGGGGATCAAGTCAGGGTTTCTCTATTAACTCTGGCTACTCTGGAACTTGCTCTGTAGACCAAGCCGGTCTTGAACTCATATATTCCTGCCTCTGCCTCCTGAGTGCTGGGATTAAAGATGTGTACCATCACCACCCAACTGAACGTGGCTTCTTAACAACCTCTGTCAGGGCACCCACCAGGGAAGCCTGCAGGTGTGAGGAGCACAGGTCTTAACTGTGGAGCTTGAGAGACAAGCCAGGGTCAGCCCCTGGAAAGCAAACCTGAGGCCCCAGGAAGTAACAGCAGGAGCTCAGGCTTTCCCAGAGCTGGGCCCAGGACTTTTCTTACCCCATCTTCCTACAGGATCTGGGACAGATGACAACTTCTATAAACCTCATTTCTCCTCTCTATCCACACATCCAGGACACAATAAACAGAGGGTTATACTCGGGCTCTGGGGGCAGATTGATTGAGCTCAAATTCTGGGTTTACCACTTGCCAGGTTACATGTGACCGTATTCCTTTCTGTGGGAAAACTACTTAGTATTCGTGCCTCAGTTTCCTTGTCTATGACATATACACTCATGCACACACACATATTCACATGCATGCACACACATATTCACACACATGTTCACACATTCACACACATGTTCATACATTTACACACATGTATACACATTCACACACATATGCACACACACTCATACACAGAAAGGAGAGCTTGGTCACAGAGCTGCTATGGAATTTGGTCAGGAAATATATAAGGCACATAAATAGATTCTCAATAATGTCAGGTCTGGTGATGCCTGTAAACCCTGGCTACTCCAGAAGCTATGGCAGAAGAATGGAAACTTTGAGGCTTATCTGAGCTACAGAATGAGTTTGAGAAAAGTGTGGGGACCTTGTCTCAAAATAAAAAGTAAAAAAACAAATGTTTAAAGAACAAGACTTGGGATGTAGTTTTGGTGAAAGAGGGCTTGCCTAGTATGCAAGCTTGCAAGAGGCAAGAGGTTCAATCCCCTGGAAAAAATAATTTTATCATTACTGTCTTTATCGTCATGTTTAATACTTTTTGAGACAGGGTCTCAGGTATCCTAGGCTGGCCTCAGACTCACTATGTAGCCAGTGATGACTTTGAGCTCTTGATCCTCCTGCCTCTGCTTACCAAGTGCTGGGACTACAGGCATGTACCACCACACCCAGCATCGTTGTCTATTTCTGTGCCACCATCTAAATACTTCTGACGTAACAGCAAGCAGGAACTTCTGCTTTGCCAGAAGACGCGTGTGGAGGTGCCAGTCGGGTGCTGAATGGAGTGAGCAGGGCCATGCAGAGGTGCTGGAACATAGGCAAAAGGCCAGCTCTGGCATCCCTCCCACACATCCCTCCTTCTCAGGGAAGCCAGAAACAGAGGCCTTGCCTGCACTGGCCTGGCCATGTAGACTCACTGCCCCTTCTCCTCCCCAGGACACCCACCTAAAAACCATCAATTGCGAGACCCCCACGGTGAACCTCTCTTTCCAGCTGCTTTCCTCTGAGGTAAGGGTAGTGGCCTGGAAAGGCCAGACGTGTGTCAGCTCCCATAACCCCCAGTGAGTGACAATGTCCTTTAACAGGGGCTGACCCTCAGGGCCGGGGGTCAGGGAGAAGGAAGAGTTTGCTGATTTAGCTGAGAAGTTCCAGGGGGGGTTGAGGTCCCAAGAATCAGACAGTGTGCTGTAATTAGGAAGAGACAAAGGGCCACTAAGACAAGGAGTCTGCCCCTGCCCCAACCTAGCCTAAGCCACGCCTCCTTTACTGGGGATCAATGTTCCCTGAGGGTGACAGGGGTTCTGGGGTTGTGGGCAGGATGCAGTTCCTTGCAGTGTAGGACTGGTGGCCCAGATTCCTTGCTGGCTGCTAACCAGGTGCTCTCAGCTCCTGGAGGCCGCCCACGTGCCTTCTTACCATGGTCCCTGTACTGTGATGCCAGCAGGCACAGCTAGTCCCCAGCACACTTTGAAATTCTGACTTTCTCTTCTGTCAGCAGCTAGAGAAGACTCTGTGCTTTTAAAAGAACAGATCATCATCTTGTCTCGGGGTCTGCTGTGTCATGCAACCCAACAGAATCATGAAAGCGATGGCTCTGTTTGGCAATTCTAAATATTGAGCTGTGGTGGGTTGGGGTCCCATTTTGGAGCCCACCCAAGTAGGACGGCTCCCAGGGCAAGCCCTGCCTGGGGGAGGCCACTGCGCCTCTGGCCAGGTCCACTCCAGCTTTGACACTGCTCATGGCTCTAGTGCACCTGAAAGCCACCCACTGAAAACGTCACTTCCCCCTCTAGTACTAGGGTGTGGACAATTTGATCCTGAACCCAGGAAATGTTCAAGAGCTGATTAGTGGCAAATCTACTCTTGCTAGCTTCTCAGGACAGAAAAAATGGGTAGTTGAGAGCCTTATGTCCTTACCTGTGAAGACCATGGGAATTCCATGGTACGAGGCATGAGGAGAATGTGTGGGAAGATGACAACACGGAAGCTCCAGTGTAGTGTTCACCATCATCCTCTCCAGATACCTCCAATCCCTGCTCATGGCACCCACACCTGTACTCACCACTACATCAAAGGCAAGAATAGGAAACCCATAGAAGTCACCGAAAGCAAAGACTCAGCGAGGCTGAGATGGCTAAAGTCTGATGACTTACGGTGGATCCCCAGAACTCACATAAACGAGGAAGGAGAGAACGGATTCCACAAAGTTGTGATCTGATCTTTATGTGCATACACACACACACACATATTCACACACACACATATACATACACACATATATACACACATACCCACACATATACACACATGCATACATATATATACACACACACACATATATACACACATACATATATATACACACATATACATACACACACATCACATAATAACATGTGTACCATGTATAATAACTGAAATTTCAATTAGAATATTTTTTAAATCCTAAGAGAGGAGAAGCAGGGAAATATGACAGCTCTCCCTGAGTATCCCAGCCTTCCTGGCCTTCTCAATAGTCCCTGCCAGTCTCTTGCCATCTCCCTCTGCCTCCTGCCTTGCCCCAGGACACATGCACTCTGCAACCAGAGGAAGGAGAGAGAGTAGGTACCCCTGGCCAGGAAAATGATGGGGACAGACAGTCAACAGGCAGGTGGGTAGGACATGTCCCCTGTTGCCCAGAGGCTGGGCACAAAGGTCTCCAGTGATGAATTATTCACTGGAACTGCGCTAAGTGCAGAATTAATCCCTTTCCTTCCAGCTGGCGGCCTCACTAAATTATCCCTCCAAGTCATGCGGGAAAACGCTGCCGAATTCATTTAGCTGCTGAGTGTTTTGATCTGGGTCTTGTGATTTTAGCTTCTCCTTTCCTTAGCCCCCTTCCCCTGGAGGTGGGTTAAAAAAACCTTTTAGTAATGGATTTCTAGGAAGAAAGGAAAAGAAAAGAGACCAAGATTAGGTGTGCACCAGAAAAAAAAATAGTACTAGCAGAAATGCAGGCCCAGCAGCCAAGAATTTGTATACAGAGGTTTCTACATATGTCTACACGCTCATGCAGCTACACATGATTGTTTACACAGGGTCAGTCACATATGCACAGATATGCATGTGTACACATCTCTTCAATGTTGTATTACGTAATGCATATGTACACACACACCCCCACAAACATAAAATGACAGGCATTTTCACACCTGTGTTGACACACACATAATCTCTGTAGCTCAGCTGTTCCTTGGTGACTCCATCTGAGAACTGGCCAATAAGTGACTCATTTTGACTCTACGGTGGTGAAGACCCATCTAGGGACGTGACTGAGGTAATGCTGGTGCAAGTGGATTCATCATCTGGTCTTTGAAGCAATGACAGTCATCTATATGCTATACAGAGAAAAGGATTTTTGACATCTGTCATTGTATACAGCTATAAGGAGAATGTCTTACATACCAGACACTGGGCAGGTCAAAATTTTTGCCATGTAACCTTATGGAGTAGGGGCATGTCCTGGGGCTATAAAGCCCATGTTCCTCAAGGTACATTAATTCAACTAATTTTGTACATGACCCTCACCTAGTATAGTATAGACACTAACTCTTTTACCATCTTCCCACTAAGACTTAAAAGAGTGTTGAGAATTGGTGAAGGGGTCAAGTGATGCTTCGGGTAAATCTAGAAGGGTCCTCTCCCTGGGTCCCCATCATTGTCCTCACACACCTGCAAACAATATACATCAGTCCTTAACAAGACCAAGAAAAAAAGAAAAAGTCCTTCCCTTTATAGATATCAGGGGACAGAGAATAGAATGAACACATTAGTCCATGAGTAGATGCTGGTTAGCGATATACAGCCTGATGACTCTTGAGATGATAAAATCCAGAGTCCCTGGAAAGGCTATTTGGTATCCCTGGGTAAACAATCTGAGTGAGATTGGAGCCTAGCTACTGTGGGAGACCAGGATCCTTCCACCTTGATGTTCCACCTTAGAGGAGGCTTCAGCTGTATGGTCTATGCTATGCTTCCTCATGTGCAGTCTATGGGCCAGTGATGGCAGAGTCAGAGCAAGGACCACCCATTAATTCCTGCCAGCACAGCCTAAAAGCTCTAGGAGCCACCACTAGGAACAAAGTGCCAGAGTCCTGTGTGCATTCCAGCTGTCCTAGAGGGGCTTGAGGTGGTAGGTGTCTTGGGACACCTGGCCAACACAACTGTCAAGTGAGTCTGTCCTTGAGTAACTCAGGAGGGACATAGAGAGGAAGTTCTCCCAGCCTGAGGGTTGAAAGTTCAGCACAGGCTGTTCCAGTCCCTTGGATACTTGGCAAGCTCAGTCTGCCATACTCACTGTTTCTGTACCACCCACTCTCAGAGCTCAGGGACAAAAGTGTGGTGCTGTGTCCAAAAGGAGACAGCAGAGGTCTCCCTCAACAAATCCACTTGGACAGGAACACCCTTGGCCACATCCACCACCACAGATGGTCATCTTACCTTCTCCCCTTGCTTTGTCATAGCAGGGAGCTCACTCCCCTTAGCAACAGCCCCTCCCCATGACACAGCAGCTGACTCTGAGAGACAGAAACTTCCCTCACACTGAGATCCTCTGCCTCCTGGGTCTCCCCTTGCTCCATGCTCCCAGCTTCATCCTCTGTGACTGCAGCATACCTCGGCAAGCCTTCTGCATAGACAGCATCATCAGCCAGCAGGCATGCTGGCAGATTGATCAACCAACACAGCCTGCCGACTCAGTGATTGGCAAGCGTTATCTCTGGTTTGGGATGTCATGCTTCAGAGGGGATTGTCAGTGGTGAGGGTGTGGGGTTGTGGTTACCCTGATGAATTGTTTCTCTGTGGGTGTTTGCTGCCTCTGGTGATCTGTCTAAAGCTCGAGTTGTATGTGTAGGAGAGTGCCTGAGCAAAACATGCAGGCACATAAACTGGAATACATGCACCCGGTCCACTCTTCCATGAAGTCAGTAAGGTAGACTTGGGAGGACGTAGGCACTAAGAATCCATGAGCCCACAGTCACTCCACAGATGGCAGGAATCAACCTTTGGCCTCCTGCTTTCCTCCTTTGATCTCAGCCTTTTCTCTTTGAAGAGAGGCATGTGTTGTTTCTTACCCCCCAAGGGGCTTTGCTTCTCCAAGTGAGGCAGCCTGCCTTCTTTTAATAATCCCACCACATCCTGGGTGCCCTCCAACTTGCAGGCAGCCTCTTTGAAGTGTAGCCCAAGATAAGCAGATCTCCCTCATCTGACCCTGGTGTGCACATAGTAGGTGTTCATTGGGCCCATTCTTGCCTCTGCCAGGAAATACACCTCCCTGTAAGTGAGGCAGGACAGAGCCACATAAGCGCTTTGGTTTTGGGGACATTTTCCCCTCTTAGTTTTAGGAGTCAAGATTTAGTGGCTGAGCAGTGTTGAGGAACATTGGGTTCCTTCTCATGTGTGGCCACCCCTCCTCAATCTGCAGCAGCATCCAAGGACATGGAGAAGACTTTGAGCCCTTTGGATGTCTGGAGTCTGATAAAAAAGAAGTGCCTTTGAGGCCCTGCTCTCAGAGATAGGTGGCAGATACAGTCCCATTGGCCCTTCACTCCTTTCTCTCTCCCTGGAAGTGTGGTGTAGCAACAGTTATGGTCACTAAAAGGGCCACCCTGGTGCCTTCATTACAAAGCCCTCTCTGGCTACCAGCCCAAAGTGAAGTCAGCCAAGTGGCTAGAGACAAGGCAGAGGACAAATGTAATCAGACAGGCTTTGGTGATTTTTGAAAGCCCCATGCGATTGCTTTGGGTTGGTCCTTAGAGAAATCTTGACCCCGAACTGCCTCCATTTCCCCACCAAACTCATCTACCTGGACAGCTGGTATCCAGGGTCACACAGCTCTCTCCTTGCTAGTCTGTTCTTTGGAAGATTCTATTCCCACCCTCAAAGAGTCCAACTCTCATAGGAGGAGGATGGACCCAGAAAAGAGACACTTTTCCTTCCTGCATTTCACAATATCCCTGGCTGCCTTCCCT